GGGTTAGGGTTAGGTTTAGGGTTAGGGTTAGGTTTAGGGTTAGGGCTAGGTTTAGGTTTACAGCGCGCTTCTGTCACCGCGCTGTTGTCGCCGTGCTTCAGTGCTCATTTGTCAGCGCACTTTAGAACTCGCGGTTTTGTCACCACGGTTTAGTCGGGCGCGCTTTTGTCATTCGCCCTTTTGTCGGTGAACCGTATTTTGCAGCTTGCTGTTACTCTGGAGTGGGTGACCTTAAGAAATAGAAGGATATTGGAATTGGAAGAGCATGACTTTAGACTGAATAGTTATTTGTGGTGGGATAAACCTAAGGTGAATGTGGACTTTAAAAATCCTGTTAGTAGGTCTGCCATATTGAGAATAAGGAATATAAGGAATAAGGAACAGTGAAATTAGTGGAGATGGCAAAATTGGTAACCTTGATGAAAGAAAAGACTTTGGCCAATTTTATTTCTACTTGAAACCATTATTAGACTTTTTGTGACAAACAGAGAGAAATAAAAAGCCGATTTGGGGGATATGATGATTAGTATTATATGGAATTATTAAAATAACATACACGAATTTTAAACTTAGGGTAACAATGTGATGTATTCTTATATCTACATATGTACCAAAAATAGTTGGAAGTAATTTATTTTCTATTTTTCTTACTTTTTTTCTTTTTTCTATTTTTACATATATTGCTTTGTGAGACTTTTCCTTTTGTAATTTTCTATTCCTGTTTATCTTTTATCTTAGTATTTTAAAAATAATAATAAAACTATCAAAAATACCATTCTAGGTTCTCAGTGATGCAGAAAGTCAACCTTAATTCTTTGTTCCATATTTTCCCAATACAACTAATCATAAGACTAAAGTTTACTGCATTATCAATCTAAAACAATCCTACAGAAGTGTGGAGTTATTCTAAACCCAGACCTGACTGTGCTATGGTGTGTGTAATGTAACATGTAAATACCACCAATTCAATTAAACAGACTGTAGCATCATCATGTGGCCATAAAACTGATGCGCAAAGGAATAAATATGAAAAAGTCAATGTACTTTTATTTGGGGATACAGCTTAGAAGACAAGACAATGTGTCACCTCTGCTTGGTTTGGTGCCTCAAGGGATCCTTGCCATCAAAGGGAAGGTGGGGAATGAAAGAGGGAAGGGGGGATGAAAGGGCAATAAAGCTTTGTGTGTATGAGATGGGGAATAGGGAGTGGGGAATGACAGGTGATAAGGACCAGAGCAGCCGGATCCTGTTTGTACCAAAATCCCACAGCAAGGCATCCTAAGAAATATGTGTATTACCCCCCAAAACATCTCAGCGTTCTCAAAACATCTCGGCAAGCTCTGGTTGTCTGGAAATGGACTGGTCACTGGGGGGGTGGTGGACTGTGGGCAACCCTTTTTTATCTATCAAATGTGGGAGATTTCAGGGCTGGCTTGACTTTATTGCAAACAACTCTAGAACCCTGTGTTTTAACTAAATGGAGTTGAGGCTTTCTTTCCTAAGGGATCAGACTGGGGCAGGTCTGAAACAATGACTAAGAACCATTAGAAGACTGCATCCTTTACCTTCAATGCACAAAAACAAGGCTAGAGCAAACTATCTTGTCACTATTGGCAGTGAAGCAACAATTGCTCCAGTGTTTTTGTTTTTCTGTTCTTTCCCATGTTCTTTTTTCTATATCTAGAAAGTTTTAGAAGCTTTACAATGAATAATAGTAGCAGTTCCAAAGGACACTGCACCATTCATGGTTCATAGACATTTTAAATATATAATATAGGATACACAATGAGTCACACAGAAAGCTGCAGGAAGGAAAGGGCAAACTGATTCTTTGAGGTTAGGAAATATTTGAACACAACATATTTGGCTGCAGAACCAGCCGAATGTATCATATTACTGGTCATCTTAACAAACAGGAAATTGTCTCTGATTGTTATGTTGACTTATAATGCTAATGTCAGAACATGCTCCTGTAATTCACTGAGAAACAGGGAGGGAGAAAGATACAGTTGTTCCCAATAAAGTTGCATCCTTAATTACTTATGTATATTTGTTTTTCCCCGCCCTAAAAATTCATTTTTGCAAGGGTTCACCAGTTGGATTGTGGGGAGAGGGAAGGAGACTAAACTAAACTGAAGACATCTAAATGCAAAGTCATTCTGAAAGGTTCATTCACAAAAATTATCAATGAGTGCATTTACTTTTTCTGACTTTGGGTGTTTCAGAAGAGACTGTTAACATAAGTTGCAATACTTCAAATAGATTTTAAAAGCACATGGTCATTAAGTAGCAGTTTTAAAAATATGTAACTTAATTTTTTGTGGACCATTTGTACTCTCTAAATAACCTTACAGAATTGCAGGTGGCTGTTATATGGCAATAAAACAGGACAGGATGAGGAGTTTAAATATATAATACATTATTTCATGAACTCAATTATTATACATGATTCAACATAAAAGAAAAATCACTCCTTGTAATTATTCCACTTTGTGTTTAAAAATTTAGTACATTTAAAAGTTTTATTTAGCATGTGGAAAGTTGTTCAACATGATAGATTTAAAGCCCAAACTACACTTTGCAACATCACTCTGACATGTCAGTATCTTATTTAACATTTACATGAAGCTGGTGGAATAGATTACTATCAATTTGGAATAAGGAGTCATCAATATGCTGATAACATCTAGCTGTAAAATTCCATTTATCTTACTATAAATAGCTAACTGTTGTGACTCAGCAGCAGTCTTCTGTGAGTCTTTTTGGGATGCAAGATTAATTATGCAGCTGGGGCTCGTTAGGGGATATTCTGGGGATAAAAGGACGGATGGTGGTACGCCCTAGTTGCAGGAGTCAACGTTCCTTGGTTCGTACAACATTGATTATCAGTCGTGGTTTATGTAAGATACACTTGGAAAAGTGCTTTGTTTTCTGTAACCCTGATTCAAGGATACACTTGGAGAAGTGCATTGCGTTGTAAGAGTTTTTGTTTTGTATTCTGTTATCTAGTCAGAGACGGTATTTATGTTATTTTTGGGCTCACAGCCAGTCTGAGTTGAGAACTGATAAAGAGAGTTCCTTTTAGGTTTGTCTGCCTGCTGTTTGTTAACGAGTGGAGAAGGGGGACAGAACAGCTAACTATATTATTATTGCAATGTTTTTATGAAATTTAGTTTTACGTAGGATTTTAGAAATAAGCCATAGTTTATAATATATAAATGATGTAAAATAAATTAATATTTAAAGTAACCATCTCTCCACGATTTTTGTGAATGATTACATGACACAAGAATTGCACAGGAAATGGAAGGGTATACTAGCACTTGTTCAGAAACTTTTCAAAATTAAACTGCCCTAAATTTAAAATGGTATGACTATATATGAGCAGGATCTTTTGCAACATCTGCAACTATATGTAATAGGCACTTTTCTCTCACACACAAAGTCACACACTTAACTGCGTCTAGTGGAGAGT